GAGAGAGAGAGAGAGAGAGAGAGAGAGAGAGAGGTGTGTGTGTGTGTTTACATGCTGTACTTGATCTGCTCTGTCCTATTTTTACTCTGGCCTAATTTAGGATTGCATTTTGCTCTGGATCATCTTGATGCTTCGACTGCCCCACCATCTCTCCGTCTGTCTGACTCCTCTTTAACTGTCACCTACCACGAAGAGAATCCCCCTGTACCAGCTCCAGAAGGCAAAATCGGAAGACCTGTGATGACCTCAGACCCAGGGACTCTCCATCATATTCGTGCTGATGTAGTAATTGCACGGGGGCAGTACTACTGGGAGGTGGAAGTGTGTAATAGCTCCATCTACAAGATTGGTAAAAAGTCTTTTGAGTTTGTTTTGCTTGGTTTTATGCCAGCATGCTTAATGCTTCCAGAAATCCTCACTATTAGTCAGCAAGACAGGGTTTGTTCAGATCTCTGCTCACATGAACCTGCATACACTCAAACACATGGAGATGTAATCAACTCACTTCATACCTCAGAATGCCAGCATTTTCTCAGTTCATTGACAGACAATTGGCAATTGGTTTTGCAACACTGTGTACAAATGTCTTTGGCACTAAAATTGTAGTGTAAAATAATGTTTAACAGAAGAAAAAAACCCTTACATGCCAGAAAGGCCTCATTTGCAATCTACATTTGCACACAATTTGTAAGCACATTTATTCCAAGCATCTTGGAGAACTATCTCACCATCTTCTGCCTGAATTCCAGACTGGCACTATGATAACAGAAATAGGAGTAGATGTCAGGTGGTCTTTCTTTCCTTCAATAGGGCTTTGGTTCTCTAAAATATGACAACAACTTAATTATTCATGGCACACATAGGAAGACGCACACAGTGTCTAAATCAGTAGCATTACAGCTTCCCTCCTCTTTTCTTCTGTGCTGTACAAGCAGGTTGATAACAATGGAGAACTGAGAAGACAGCCAAACGTTAAATCTGCATTATTTTAAATGGCCAACAGAGGACAAGTCTTCCATTTAGAACAAGAAGTGTCTTTAGACACAAGTTTATATTAAAACAGCCCTTATTGTCTTTTCACTTTGACCTCAGTAAACTCTAGTGTAATGAGTTTATTTGTCAGTCACTAAATTCAAATCTTATGGAATACAACATGAAGCTTATTTGGTCAATAATGGTCTCCCCAGTTAAAAAGGGGCAAGAAAACAGGATATGTTTTACTGTATGACTGGCAAGAATGTATGGTGTCCATCATTCTTCGGTCAGATGAAAAGGGAAAGACCATGTCTGAATTAAGGAGGGGGCCTAAGGGTACATCTTTCGCCATCTTAAAATGCTGTGATTGCAGCCATCAGTGGTCTTTGATCAATGATCAATGGTCTTTGATCAGTAGTTGTTAATAAATGGTCATGAGAATGTACATATTAATGATCAAGGAACTGACTTCACAGCCTATTGTTCATTCAGTGGTGCTAGTTTCAGACATTGTGCAATGTACTCTTTATAAGGTTGGGGAAACCTGCAGTCAGCTGAGGCAGAAGAAGTCACCTGGATGAGTGACGAAACATTTCTCTCACTGAAAACGCTACGTCCAGATGATCAACCTTTTGGGACTTACTTACCTGGATGATTGAGCATGCATCAAGACATTTGGATTTGTGTTTGTGCATATATGTGTGTGTGACAGATCAGATGCTTTCTAGTGGTTAAAATCACATTCAACGGCAGTGATGTGAGTAACTGAGGTTTCCTTGTTGGTGTTTTTCTGAATAAACATCATTAGATCTTTTTATATTCAACCGATCCAAGATTAAGGCAGGGCTGGAGCTTATCCCTGCTATTATAGGGCAAGAGGCAGGGTACACACTGGACATGCTCTCAATCTGTCACAGGGCTAACACAGAGAGACAGACAACCATTCACACCTCCAGCTCATTTAGAATCACCAGTTAGTCTAACATGCACATCTTTGGACTGTTGGAGGAAGCTCGAGTATCCAGAAATAACCTATCCAGGCACAGTGAGGACATACAAGTTCCACACTGGGAGGTCCCAGGTGGCCAGCGGATTTCAACCAGGACCTTCTTGCTGTGACACAATGGTGGTAACCACCACACCACCATGTTGCCCAACAAAAAAAACACACAAAAAATTAAAGTTTTCCACTTAAGATATAAAATCGTAGAGGACATGCATGTAACAAAGTTAAAATGTTGTTTTTCATAGTCGCCCAACTTTATACTTCACAGTATCAGAACAGTACCCATCTGTAGATGACACTCAGTAAAGACATTTATTCACTCTGTTTGCCAATACAACACAAAAATGAAATGAAATGAAATCAGTCAAATTAAAACAAAACAAAGATTTAACATAAAAAGAAACTTATTACATTAAACAAAAACTCAACACTTCTTTTGGATTTAAATATTCTTTTTAGTTATTCCCACTCTTTTGAGCAACATCGTTGAGAGTGTTGTAACTCATAACTATGAATCACAGCATTTCTTGTTCCTGTCCAGGCTGCGGTGATGGTCCCGGAGGGTATCGTTTATGCAGGAGGGGTATATCTGTGGTGTTTCAAGGAAAGATGTCTTTTGTCTTCTCCTTGTTTATCCGTGATACCACCAAGTTGGTGGCTCACCTCCTCAGCATCCAGACTACATCACAGACAAATAAGAGCAACAATTTCCACTAAGCAAAAATAACAAACACACAATGAAATGCCTACAGTTTATAGTAGCATTTGATTTATTCCTTAAGCTATTTACTTCAACCCTAAATTATTGTACAGTTGTCAGCTTATTTTAGTTACATTATATTAACTTAGCCACACAGATGGGAATAACATTAATTAAGCTGACTTGTTATAAAAGTATTGAGCAATGTGAACTAATGATCTGATAGTGTCTATAAACACTACAAATGTCAACCTCATGGTGGTGCAAGAGGAAAAGTAAGAAAGCCACCAAAGTCAAACAGATGCATCGTCTTGGGAGAATAAATAAATAAAATATTGTAAAAATCAATTGAATGGCTATTGGGATATTTGAGCGTTGGCCAAAGTGGCCCAGAGCCAGGAATTGTTAAAGACTATTTTAATGCATAACCAAATCCATAAAAGTGCAGAGAAAACTGAAACTTTTCTGTCTCCCTCAGGTGTGATCTCAGTGGATGGTTCTAATGGCTGGTGGCTTGAGAGGCACAGTTTGACTTTTTGGGCAGTGTATGATGGGAACTGTGAACAACTTTGTACCATCCCACCTCAGATCAAAACCATTGGGGTCTTCCTAAACATTGGAGGAGGGACCCTAAGCTTCCACAACCCTCTAACCCAGGAGCATCTCGCCACACTGCCAACACGTTTCAGCAATGCTGGAGTGGTCCCAGCCCTGGGCCTGGGCCAGGGCAGACTGAGACTGCGCTGTGGCCTACCCCCACCCGTTTACGTATTTCTTAGTAAGAGCTCAACCTACAGGGAGCCTCATGGAAACAGCAGAAGTGAGTGGCGCCAAGAGGTTCCCTTTCAGTCGGTTAGGAAAGTGATCCAGAAGTTTGAGAAGCTGGCACTTTCTGACTCAGACTCAGGTCTGGTGTCCAGTTTTGGATCATCATGCTCCACCTTGGCTTCCTTTCCAGATGTGGGGGTTCCTGGGACCTTTCAGTCAGGGAAAGCAGGAGAGGAAACTGAACCCTAATAAGAAGAGCTTGTGAAACCTTCTCTTCAATAGAAGGATAAAAAAAACTCCCACAGATGACCTGTGTAGTTTTAACTTTAGCTGTCATTTGAAAGGCTAATTTTTAATCTTCACAGACTTTTGGAAGTGTCTCTCCACTCCCTGGGTCACCCCCGGACCTACAATTGACTTTCTCACCAGGAGACAACCTTTTTCTCAGCTAAACAACCCCCACAGATTTGGCTTGGGCCAGAAAGAGTCCTCTGTGATGTGAAGTGTGAGGAAAGGGTGGGTTTTTAGCAGCAGGACTCCTTGATTTGTCTCTGTGTGATGGTTGTCAGACAGTAGGGGTCCTGTGCTCATAGTGCGCACATTTGTTTGTGTGTGTGAGAGAGCAGAAGCACTAACTCTGAGCATTTGCTCAGTTAGTCTTGGATTTCAAGGTGTGTTTGTGTGTGTGTTTGCGTGCATAGGAAGAACCACTGTACAAGTAGCCGGGGGTGGAGATGATGATGCATGAGTACAGCGACACCAGCAGTGTTGACACAGAGCACCAAGGACAGGTGGTATACTACGCTTATCCTGCAGCCTGTCTTTGATAGGACAGTAAGCCTGCCCCTTTCTGACCCTTTGAAACCCATAGGGCCTCTAAAGACTTTAAAAGAGCAGAGAGGGAAAAGACAAAACAGCATGCATAAATTAAAGACAGCAGGTGATGGACTGGACAAAAAGGAATGAGCTCAGAGAGTGATTCCCATCTGCTTTCACTTCCAAGACATCCTAATGGATCAAATGGCTCAGACCATATTTTTAAGGCAGCATACAGTATATTAATAGAATGGCATACTTTTTACATTGCCAATTTGCTCATTGAACTTTAAGAAGAATCAAACAGGGAAATCAATTAACTTGAAACAATCTTTATTCAACACTATGTAATTACAGTGTCAAATCTTCATTAAAACCCGGCAAGACTTTAAGACAAATGCATAAAGTCTTCTCACACAGAGCACACACTGAGGAATGTTTACTGCGGGTTTTTTTTTAAAATGAAAACCAAACTTTACTGGAATGTCTTTTGAACTAAAAGCCTAGCTATAAAATACTTTATATTAATTACACAATTACTGCAGTCACAGGTCTAATGACTACTTTATGTGCTGTGCCGGCTCAGCATTCACAATAAAGTGGTTTCTATTTGTGTTGTGCACTCACTGAAATCAAAGTTATTTTGTTTGCAAATATCTGGATGTGCATGTTAAGCTGTCTGAGATATTATAAGACAGATGTGGCACACACATAAATTTGGAAGACAAATCTATTGAAGAAATGGCACAGATGGCATCTGTCTCGCCTCTCCGCTGATACATGTGCACAGTAAAGATTCAATTCAGTTTAGTTTGATTTACACAGTGCCAAATCACAACAGCTGTCACCTCAAGGCGCTTCATATTGTAAGGTAAAGATCCCACAATAATACAGAGAAAACATCAGCAATCAAGGATTTTTTAGTACATCCTGGGGATAAGGAATTATAAGAATACAGCTTAGAAGCAATAAATGCATAGGCTAGTTTTTTTGGCATAACTCTGAGACAGGATATGTTTAATTTTAGAGATATTGTGCAAATGGCAGAAAACAGTCCTACAGATTTGTTTAATATGAGCATTGAAGTACGTACGCTGGTCAAAAACGACTCCAAGATTCCTCATAGCGTGATTGGGTCCCAAGGTAATGCCATCAAGATTCACAATTGTTTTACTGTAAGGCATGGGACAAACACTTTTTAAACCTTATTTTGAGGAAACTTTGCACACTTTTCCAAACGTTTGGAGATTTACTTACCTGGATGATTGAGCATGCATCAAGACGTTTGCACACTTTTGAAGCATTTTTATTGTATTTCTTTCTTGATTTTACCCATGCAGTTTTTATCTCCTACTCGTCCTAGTGTCATGATCCTGGGTCCTTTTGACCCAGCGTTTTGTGTTTTCTCTTCGCGATTTTGGTTCTGTTCTTCCTCTGGTTAGTGTTTACTCTGTTCTGCCCGTGTGTTCCTGTATCTAGTCCGCGTTTCTTAGTTTGTGTCCTTTCATGTGTAAGTTCCTGTTTTATTGT